AAAACATTATGATGGCTTACAAATCCATTTGCACCCTTGATGGTGAAATTTGAAGTTTAAAATGTGGTGCAAATCCAACGCATATGTGAGAACTTGAAATTGAAAGTGTAATACAAGTCTGGAAGGTGATGTCGTCTTTCCGGCAACCGAACGGATCCACTATCAGAAACTTATCTACGTAGTTACGCTCTTAGCTGGCCGACTTTCTGTCTTTCCAACCAACACAAACCTCTTGCCAACCCAATTGTCTGGCTAGACCAGAAGAATGAATCTATGTATGTGCGGCCGCTGCAACTGTGTTTAGGCTAGACCAGAAGAACGAATCTATGTCTATGCGGCTGCTGCAACTGTGTTTTAGGCTAGACCAGAAGAATGAATCTGTATCCATGCGGCCGCTGCAACTGTGTTTAGATGAGATTTGAGTTGCATGTTCAAAAAACCGCAACCCTAAGAAACACTTTCCCATTATTTCATAAAAGAAAAAGGAGTCAAAAGATGAAAATTTAAGGTTAATATTTTATTTAACAGTCAAAGCCTTATGAAATATTTAATAAAACCTTTATGAAACATTAATTAATCCAATTCCATCTAGCATAAAGAGTAACTTAGAACAATGACCCATGAGAATATCTTCCCATTGCCCAGTATCCAGAATTAGGAGTTTGAATTTTGAACACAACAAAGAATATCTTCCCATTACCCAGTATCCAGAATTAGGAGTTTGAATTTTGAACAAAACAATAGGGAAACAGGGGCTCTTTTCCAAATATTTTGCCTTCTTTTATCAAAAATTAAAGCCAAAGACTAAAATTTTTCAGTTGACATTTATCGAGAAAACCTCATTTGACTGGCTGCAATCTTGTAGACTTGAAACTGACAATCTGAAAGCCATAACTCTCCGCTACCCTTCTTTCTTTTTATTTTTGCTCGTCTTCTCTCCCACAAAAACATCCATCCCGAACCACGTGAAAGGGAGCACGTGGTGAATATTTAAATATATATCTCTCAAGAAAAAGAATGTTTAACTATAAAGGAAATGAGGTATTAAACATGGTCTTATAGAACCCTCGTTGAATAAAAAGGAAAAAATTTATATAAGGTTGACACCTTATATTATAGAATTAAACTGCACTTTAAAATTCCACCGGAAAATGTCATTTTGACATTAGAAAACCATCTATGTTGATCATCTCGACATCAAAATGTATAGATATGGAAAAAAAAAAAAGATTTTAAATTTAAAAACTGTACATTTGCAACTGAGTATCTGAACCATCCATTTTCAACATTTTCATACATTTGTAAATCTACTTGATTTAACCGCTTTTGAATTTTAAAATTTTATAATTAAAAATGAAAACATATTCTCAAGCAATTCCAAGAATTTTCGACCCCAAATTACATGACAAAGTTTGGACTTACACCTTACTTTTTAATGGTACAACCTGGTGCCCCAATAGAAATAATCACCAATTACCCAAAAATAAAATAAAAATAATCACCAAAAATTTGTAGGGTTTGATGACCAACACGTGTAGAGAGGGGAGAGAATTATTTTTCTAGAGGAAAAAAGAATTTTTTTTTTTTTCAAAAAAAGGGAAGCTCATGTGAGAGAATGATGAGAGAGAAAGCAGTTGTATGATTTCTCTTTCTCTCTATTTCCATGCAACGGAATCGATCTCATCACGAGCCGACTTGTAGAGCTCGAGGCGCTTGGCGATGGCTTCTCTCTTCTCCATGAGAGCAGGATCCTCATCAAGCATGACCCCCAATTGCTTCTTCTGCGCGAAACCAACAACATTTGTACTTCAAATTTTAAAGCTGAAAATCATCAGAGAGAAAAAAGCTTCATAATCTTTAGTGAAAAAAGGCGATTGACAATAAAAAGTTAGAGAGATGTGACACAAGAAAAGAGAAGCTGTTTCTCTCTCTAAAGATTAAGGCTGGTTTATCCTTGGATTCTACTTTGGTTCCTGTGCTTTGGCTACCCTTTTGAATTTACCTCAGCCTTTACTTCCTTGCGTCATTGCATAAAGTCACTTTCCCTTGTTTTTGAATTTTTTTTTTCACTTTTTTTTTTCTTTTTTTTGGGACATGTATAAGCTTTCCATCTTTATATCGACGCCCTATGCTGTGCTTCTGGGTTACATGTACTCCCTCGGTCTGAGACCTACTTGGAGGATATTTTCAATTTGAAATTTGGATGAAGTTTCTTTTAAGGGATAGGCTTTAAGAAAACAAAATAGAAGTCTTATCTCAAATTCTCGAGAGCACTTTCGGCAACGTCTAAAACCAATTTCCAACACTGAAGACAAATTTTGAAACTAAAAAAATGCAAGATCTGTGAACACTTAGTTTTAGGGTGAAATGAATAGTATAGATAATTTGTCACAACATACACTTGTTTTAGAGTTTGAAATCTCAATTTTATTTTGACAATCATCATGTTCAAGCCAAGATGATGGATGTAAAGGTTTTCCAAATGCTTGAATTGTAATTTTTTATGAGTTATGAGTTGAGGCTTTACTTATTTTGATAGGACTGCAGCCCTATCAAACTATTTTTCTTAAAATTTTAGGAACCACCTAAGAATACGAAGATGATTAATCTTAAAATAAAAATCTGAAGTTTGGAATGTTTTTTTTAGCACTCACATCTACTGTCTAAAAATTAGACAGTCTCTGTTTTATTCTCGAGACATTATTTTTTTGAATTGTATAGAGAGTGCCATTAGGAATTCTTTTTGTGGAAGTTAATTTATGGATTGAACAGGTTAAATCCCCAAAATCATAAATGAGCTTATTCTCGAGACATTATTTTTTTCAATTGTATAGAGAGAGCGATTATGAATTCTTATTGTGGAGGTTAATTTATGGATTGAACAGGTTACATCCCCAAAATCCTAAATGAGCTTTTACAATGTGTAAACTAGCATTGTTTGGGCAAGAATAACCCAAAGCATGGAAACTCGAAATCTTTTTGGGATGCATAGGGGAAAAGTAAATGTGTGTGAGTGCGCATATGCGAGAGATAGGGAGTCCATAGCACTGATATCAAGACCAAAATGTACAGGCCAATCAAACTTATCATACATGATACCTTAGTATGTATATGGTCCAGAGCACAAATGAGGTTCGGTAGAAAATCAGTCAACAAAAATTTGATTTGTTTAATTGGCTATTTTTGACTGGTTGGATTGACAAGATAAAATTAAGGCAATTATTTTTAATAATATATCTTATATGTTTAGCTATTATTCTTACATTTTTTTACTAAGAAAACTAATCTAGCCAGTTTGACCAACATTTAGACTAATTTTGATTAGATCAAGCCCTTAATCAGTGCATTGACTGGTCCAATTATAATCCATTGGTTCATTGGCAGGACATCGGTGACCCTGTCGCAAAAGTCAACATGGTTTTGAGCTTTGTCTAAGGATACTTTATCTCATGTCTAATCATGAGATGCTTTATCTCTTTTTCTTTCTTTTACCATTTTTTAGAGACTTCGAACGGATGTGTGTGTGAAAAAGGAGACAAGTTAGTGGAAAGAAAATGCACAATTGTTTGGAATCAGACACTGGCTCGATTGTCATGGGGTTGACGATTCGAAAACTTTGTCCCAATTTAAAAACACCCGAAATGAAGAAAAGTAATGGGAAAGTATTATACATTGTAGTTCACAAGACCGAACCTAACCAATAGTTCGACTGGTGCTTTTGTCAATCTAGGCGAGAGTTAAAAAACCTAATTTATTTAAAAACTTGTCAAAATCAATGTTTGAATGGTTTTACCGATCCGACCAACCAGTTTCGACAAAGTTCGATTATCTAAACAAAGTAGACATCTTTTTTTCTAATATATTATATGTTTTTAAACTATTGTTCATAATATTTTTAAAATCCAGTCAAATTGGTTTGACTGACGATCCGACAAGATTTGACTAGACCAAACCCCTAAAATAACACTTAATATTTATCACATCATACACCGTAAGCTTGGCCATTCCCTATAGCTAGTGTGATGTGTAGTTGAGACATCGATGGTGATGACTGACTATATGATGTGTAGTGGAGACATCGATGGTGACGACTGACCATAGTTCCTAATGGCAGACGTTCACCCTAGCATGGATAAGATCAAGTCTTTGGAAACAGTGGATGTCACCATTGTGTACCATTTAGCACACACCACACCATAGTGTATGGTATATTTTCCCAAGATAAGATAGCAGACCACACCAATCTAACTTATATGGAAATCATAAGAGAACATTACATTGAAAAAAAATTTATTGCATCGAGGTAAATAGCATGGTGTATGGAAGACCAACAGAATCAAGACTTTGCTGATATATTTTACAATTAAAACATTACAGGAAAAGAAAAGTATAAGAACCCCATGAGGTCATATAGATGGTTCATACCATCTATGGGATCTGTATGATATATTTAAGGGATTGTATAATTATGAGACCATTTACTTTTGGTACAAAGAGGACACAATTACATGTAACCATCAGATGTGAAACCTGATAGCTTAGGTGTGTCTTGAAGTTCGAAAAGATTTCTTTTGAGCTCTGAGCCTAGTCAATTGAACAAATGTGGCCATCTGATGATCAAGATTAATTGTGACATCCATGTACCAAATATAAATGGTCTCATTGTATACTTTTCCTCTACTTAAACTCATACTTCTGAATGAATGTGTTCTTTCATAGCTAAATAAACAACTAGGACAATGTCACATCCACCATGGAAGCAGGGAACAAGGCCTCCTATTTGGGAGTCCAAGAGTCTCAGGGGCTCAAAAAGTTCCCTAATGTGGGAACTTGCAACAAAATTGTTAAAATTTTTGTTTTGGAAAAACCCGGCAAACAAATGTCAAAAATTCTCTCCAACACAAAATAATAATCAGGGAAAAGATAACCATGGGCCTTTATAGCGACTGAGATAAGAGATAACCATAACATATCCACCATCAAGTGAAATGCTAGGAACATTTTAGAAAATTGATGGGAAGAGAACTATTTGAAAAATAAAACAGACCAAAATTGTGCTTTCAGGAAATGCAAAGAGATAAGAAAGAAAAGTAACAGGAAGCTCACCTCTCTTTTACCAACTTGAGAATAGAAGTGGTCCAATAAAGATCGCTTGGCCTCTCGAACCTGACAGTGAACCACGGCTTTAGGGATTGAATTCCTCAGAGTATCACACACCATGCCCACATAGGATGATACATTGGATCCTGATAACGCAACCACATAAGACTCACACATAAACAATATGAAGAAAAAAATCGCGGAAAATTATACCATACATGTCCTAGGCATGGTATACTGTGCATTCTCAAGACAAGTGAAGATATACCATGACTGACACTCTACCTTGGAATTACAGTCCTTCTCCACCATCTGTTTTGGAAACAGATGGTGGATGCCTGTAGATATGTAGTGTACACACATATGCATACAAAGGATACTTATGTTATATACTGTCCAATGTAAAATTTAGCATATGGTCCCCCTCTCTCCACCCCCAAAAACAAAAAAAGATTTCGCTGGAACAAATTCAGATGCATTGACCCTAATCCAAAATGCCAATCAACTCTAATCGCTTGTAAATGTCATTAAAAAAACTCTTGATAGAAAATCATCTTGTAATAAATGTTAACATTTATCACAAATGGCAGAACCTATTCCTCCAAGATTCTAACAAAGTTAGGGCATTGTGGTCATCTTAATTTGTGACTTATTTTAAACTTTGATCATGCAATGTTTGAAATGGAGGAATTCTTCATTTTTATCAGCTACAGTCAATGGCTAAATTGATATTGCAAAAAGATTTCATGCTTCCAAGGGCGTATAATGAACATTTACTCGCCCGGATAAAATCCAATCTAGGAGTAATTTTAGGACCCCAAATTCGGGGATGTAACTTCACCAACCCATATGCTAAAGTCAATAAAAAAAATCCTAATCGCATTCTCTATGGGCTTGAAAAAAAATAATGCCTCAAGATTAAATAAAAACCGTCCAATTTTTCAAGCCTGAGATCCAAGTGTCAGAAAACTCAAAATCGAATATTTTTCTCTTGAACATAATCATCTACTGATTATGAAAAAAAGCCTTCCCAAATAAGTTTTCTACACGAGGGAGTAAGTATACAGTATGCTCCCGCAGGATCATAGTATAGACACTCATTGTTACGGCACATTTAAAAACTATAAAGTGATTATCTGTAGAATATAAAAAATGTTGAACAGACTAAAAGAAGTGCTTACTTCATTAGATATTCAGCATTTCAGTCTTCCATTTGTTTTTTAATGTTGTGTCAAGGGCTGGCAGTCTAGTGTGTTTTGCAGACAACCACAAACATTAGGGGACATCATATGGCCATGTCCCAAGAAGAGCAGCAAATTTTGAAAAGTAGAGGAACTTGTTAGTACGCAAGGGATAACTAACCCATGCAGCTGATGAGTATTTCTATCACCAGCATTCGTAAAATAGTTACCGTTTCTAAGAATATCTTTAATAAAATACCAGCAATTGTAGTGAAAATTACAATCTCTAAAGTATGTGGGGGACCCATTCATCCCCTAGAAATTTCATATTGCCCACCACTGGAATAGAGAGACTTTGTGAGGTGTTGGGGTCTAAAGTGGGCAAATCATGAAGATAAATTTTTCTCTCCAGTATGTTTTCAAAACCAGAAGACTGTTCAGTACTTACAGTCATATTCTTTAAAACCGGGGCATCAGACATTAAGTGAGAAACTTACCAATCCTCCTGAGGTGGCCTTCACCATAGCGGTCATTGGTGGGGGCAGTTGGATTCCCACCCTTCTCAGCTTCTAGAGGGAGCTTCCTGAAAAAGTCAACCGTAAGGTAGCTTGATTCCATCTCGACCAGCCTCAGGATAGTCTTACGACTGTCCTCTCGAAATCTCTCGAGGGCTTCATTGGCTGCTGCAGCCAAATCAGCCTGAAGAGTTGGAAACCGTTTTAGCTCCTGTAGACAAACCATGCGAGTTAAACCAACACATTCCCCCCCCTCTCTCTCTC